TATATATTAATATACCTAAATAAACTTATACTTACTAATAACTTATACTTACTAATACACACGTTGCAGACTAGGACTGTGATAAAAGATATTTACGCAATCCGGTTTTGAAAATGGGTAGCGACTTAGAATGTCGGATTTCAAATGGGAGATCGTTCCACAATTTTGCAGCCTTAATCGTAAAGGAATTTTTGTAATACTCAGAACGAGTGAAAGGAGGCTTCAGTAGGTTATCAATTTTAGACCTTAGTTCACGGTTGTGATCATCCCCGAGGAAGCGAAAACGAACATTAAGGTATGGCGGAGTACGAGAGTCGTATAGAACATTATAAAGAAAGCTGAGAACGTGCTCCTCACAGCGCAACTTGATAGGGAGCCACTGACGCCTTCTTCTAAATTCGGCCACATGATCGAACTTGCGCACTGCTGAAGCTGGCACTAGTTCCCTGGACGAAGTTTCTTACACAAACAGCTCTACTGCTTAAATAAGAGAATTCAAAAAATTCACATGCACAATGCATGCACATTATTCTTTCATGCAGTTCGTATCATTTTAATTACTTTCATTGACAAAATAGTCGTTAAAATATTTGCCTAGACATTCACTAAACAATTATCACTCGTGACTCTACGGAAAACCATTTATTTATTTTCGATATTGCACATGTACATTAATAAAAGGTTACAGTGGTTACACACGGCGATTGCACCGATACAAACGCGCGATGCAATCACTGATAACTCCCAAATGCAGCGATGCAATCGCGTGTTTGTTTCTTAAAATCGCGCGTTTGTGTAAACGTAAACGATTAGCTACTACTACTACTATAAAACTCGCAGTGTGTTAAAATAACATTTAGCATGGCACATGACCCAGTCAGGGCGTAGCAATGAGACATAAAAACTAATTATTAAATTACCATTCTTTTGCAGAGAAGAATAAAACTCACTTTGGTAAGAAACATGGAACTAGCGATTATTTAATAGTATTTAATTCAAAATCAGTTACCAAATGATAATTGCACATCAATGTATCGCAATAACTCGTCATGCAATAATAATAAAGGTCACAGCGGTTGCAAATTGACTGCTAAGTCACGTGCTTGAAACCGCTTGAAAAATGTCGGAAAATCTCAAGCCTTTCCCTCCTGCGCAACCCGGTGAATATATTTAACCCACTTAGCAATTATTATGGATACTACATATGTACATACATACATTTGTATAAGCATACTGAAAATATATGCAATAGCTCAGTCTAGGCAAAATATCTGCGCTTTTGTTTTAATTTTGTCTTGCTCTAGTACAGGGTCCCTCAACCTTTTTGTAACCGTGGACCCTCTCAAAAATTTAAAGACCCTTGAAAATATGTACCTAGTTGAACTTGCTGGAATATTTGTGTCCGATTAGTTCAACTGATTGAACTTAGTGGAATAGATCACTTCTTGCGGTACACGGTTAAACCTACGCAGGTGTTAGTTGTTAATAATAAAGAATAAATAGAATAAGAAAGGCTCGCGGGTGTCATTGACGCGCGTCTCGCTCGCTACCACTATGGATAGCCGACAATTCAAAAAGGTCACGTGTACTACACCTTTTTGCTCACAACATATTTTATACCAATTTTTATATTAATGCAACATGTTAGGTAGGCTCGTCAAGGACCCTGCTACGTTAAGAAACCCTGTTCTTGTTTAATAGAACGCAGTTTCAATAGCACCAGGGCTCCTTGTGAAAGAGGTTTTTTTTTTATACTGACGGGCCGAACAAGTCGTGCGCCTGGCGGTAAGTGACACATCTACCGATAACAGTTGAACTGCTACTAAGAGCTTTAAATCGCAAAGATCTGAGAGACATTGTCACTGCGCTTGTCACCCTGTGACATAAATTGACAAGGCCTATCATAGGCCATGTGCCTATAATTTCACCAGCACCCGTAATCCTTCAAAACCTTTTTAAGCACAGTTTAAACGTTTTTTTTTCATGAGATGCTCATCTATAGTTAGGTACGCAATTAGACTAAGTTTTTGAAATCCCTCATGAAATATTGTAACTGCTGGTGTCGTTAATAAATAAGCAAATAAAACTAGAATGCAGTAATGTGAGCATTGACAATGAGAATGACAACAGCCGTAAGGAGTTTTACTGCTTCTAAACAGTGTTTGTCTAGGGAAGTACTGCCGTCATACTATATAACACGAATTTCTTTTTTCCGAATCTCATTATTCCGAACACGATTGTAAAATGTTTCATTACTGCGATGACTATTTTGGTATAAATTTGTAACACAGCCATATCTGCATATACAGCGTTTATTTTTTATTTATTTATTACACTTATAAATTTACAATTAATAACACAAATGTGCATAAACATACACAGATTAAGTATCATTTATCAGAAAATCTATTATTAGAATATTTATTACATCGTTATGTATTATTTTGATAGATTTCATGTAATCCCTATTCTGTTTTTCATATAGTTTAGATCGCTGAAATATTCGTTTCGACACAGTTATTGTTCTTGGATAAAATTGTACCTGCCTCGAACAAACGAACACAACAATTTAAAATATTCTTCATGACTCTTAATTGCTTAATTTATACATATTGAATAAAACATTTCCTTACTTTTTAATCAAATTTAAATTTTATTTCAAATTTAAGTTTCAAATTCAAATCAAATTCAAATTTATTACAAATTGTCGTAGCGGATAGGCAATTGATTTAAAAGCACTATCCCAGGGTAGTGTTAAACCCGAGTGCACTCCCCTTTTAGTAAGTTAAGTTAGGTTATATGAAAAAGTAGCCACAAGACAATTTGTTTGTATTTCCGAACATATTTTAAATAAACATGGAACTTCTTTAAACACAATTTTAACTTCATTTATAATTAAGTAAAACTCATGTAAAGTATATGATGTGAATCAACAATGAAGTGTGTTTTAATTTAATTAACCAAATAATAATAATAATAATTTATTTATTTCAAGTCACTTGGCGTGTTACTGTTTAGTGTTAGTTACAATCGATGCCTTACTTTCTCAAACTCGTATCTTATTAAGAGTGATTATATATTTTAAATTTCTTCTCAAGGGTATGAATTTGGATGCATTACTTTAAGAATAGGTAAAAGCAATTTTTTGAACATGAAGGAAATATGACGTGAAACCAAAGTAAGGCGATGCAATGTCACTTAAAAATTAATGTTAAGCATTTTAATTTTACTCATTTTATTTACTTACATTTTACTCAACAAAACGCTAGCGATAATTTGTTTCATTGTGTCGATCACACTAAATTGAACTGCCTCTGTGACCGAACAGTTACCATGCTGGTCTACCACGCAAAAGTCCCGGGTTTAGTGAGGGATTTAGTGAGTTTGGGTCATTGACTTACAATTATAAGTAATTTAATTGTAAGTCAATGGTTTGGGTGTTATTTGTGGTAATTTTAGTAGTAGTAGAGCTCCTTGTGAAAGAGTTCGTCCAGGGAAGCAGTAATGTCAGCATTACTGTGTTCCGGTTTTGAAGGGTAAGGGTGCTGGTGAAATTACAGGCACATGGGACTTGTCAACTTATGTCTCAGGGTGACGGGCGCAGTGGCAGTGCCCCTTAGATCTATGCGGTTTAAAGTTCTGAGTGGTACTACAATGTTATGGCAGGCGTGTCGGTTACCATCACTTAGTAGCCTATGGAAAAGTCTATATGTGTGTCCATACCACCTGCGATACAGGATTTCCCGAGTGCGGGGTTATGAGTGCGTTATAAATTAAATCCGATGTAAAACAAAACTGCCTCCGTGTCCGAACGGTTACCATGCCGGACTGCCACGCAAGGGTCCCAGGTTCGATTCCAGGACCGTGAATATTTCTCTCGTGAGTTTGGGTGTAATTTGTAGTTATGTATGTGTGTGTCCATGGCTCCCGCGACACAGGGTATCCCTAGTGCGGGGCTATGTTGAGTGTGTGCGTTATTATTATTATTAATTAATTATTTACATTAGTATTAATTTTATTAGTAGTTGTAGTACTACTCAGAGTTTTATATCGCAAAAATCAGACGAGCTCTGCCATTGCATTGACTGCCTCCGTGGCCGAACGGTTACCATGCCGGACTGCCACGCAGAGGTCCCAGGTTCGATTCCCGGGCCGGGAGAAATATTTATATGGCCTACATTCATTTCTCTCGTGAGTTTGGGTGTAATTTGTGGTTGTCCATGTGTGTGTGTGTCCATAGCACCCGCGACACAGGGTTTCCCTAGTGCGGGGCTATGTTGAGTGTTGTTATTATATTATTATTATGCATTCGTCATCCTGAGACATAAGTTGACAATTCCCATGTCCCTGTAATTTCACCCTTCAAAACCTGAACGCAGCGTTGCTGACATTACTGCTTGTCGGCAGTAATAAATAAGGGTAACCTATTACAAACTCGAATTTATTTCCGAAATAATGTTTGTTCGAATTTTCATTACACCGAAAACCGAATTATAACGAAACCGTTGTTCTTTCAGGATATGTTGGATGTTTATCGCAAAGACACGAAATAGGTTCGGTTAGGTTAGGTTAAGTTAGATTTAAAAGAGAAAACATTTTTCTCTCTAAATTACTTTCGAGGTCATGAAAATTCGAGCAAACATTATTTCTGGAAAGTGTCATTTCGAACTACTGATAGGTAACTTATTTTCGGATCTAAATTGCGTATCTTTTACGTCTAGTTTCACGCACACGTTATGTATGTATTTGTATTGTTTGCGCTCGAGTCCGTGCTTCACCCTGATGATATAACTGATAGCTGAGCAAGACCCGTTTGCATGCGCCGCGACACGCAGTTTTATAAATATTTTTGTAATCACTATAATTGTGTGTTTACCTAGAGCATTTCCATGCAATTTCATTTTCTATGTTAACTTTTGTTGTAGGTTTATGTCATGATCATGTATTGTGTGTCTCGGCGCTTACGTAATAAAATATTCTTATTCTTATTCAGTACTTACAGAAGGATACTTCTCCATCTCATGCAGCACGGTATGGTCGCAGTACTCGAACACGAGATGCAGCTTACGCTTTCGCCGGAAAACCTCGATCAGGTTCACCAGATTCGGGTGCTTCAAGTTCTGCACAAAATGATATACCAAATTAGGTAAGCATTGTATATATATGTATCTTTCTTAATGCTAGCCTATATAGATGTCGTGCCGACAGTTAGTCGTGCAGTTTAAAGTGTCGCGGCTAGTATATTTAAACGAAGTTGAATGTGTGAAACAACTGTCGTTTACGACTTTTTTGACGTTAAGCAAGAATTAACATGGAAACCTTTTATTATTGTAACATAAAGTTTGGATTTTGGTCAATTTTCTAATACCTTTATTTGAATTTTATGCTTTTAAAGTTTTAAAAATGTACGTAAAAGGATTTAAATTTTTTCTTACAATCTATTTCACCGACTAATTCCGTTAACGCTGTTGGATAACGATATCGTGTGCGAATCCGAATCAAACGTCTAACTCGGAATGTTCTGAATAACTCGGAAGTGCCCTTCGATTCGAGAATTATATCCAATCGAACGATTCGGTTAAAATAGGTAATACTGAATGATATAACCTCAAATGGCTTAGGTTGATTCACATTGAAAGTGTTGAATCAAACACTTTAGAAAAAATGTATAGTAAAGTTGAGGATACACGCTGATTACTATACAGTGTGAAAACACGATTCCTATACATTTTCACGATAGAAAAAAAACACAAACTTATCTCGAAATTTTACAAGAAAACATTTATTATATTTATGTATTTATTTATAATATATATTCAGTAGGGTTTTTTTAACAATACTAAGGTATTTTGCATACACCAATGTTTTTGTTTTATATCAACTGACTGTATAGTATATACACTTTTCAAATGGCTTGAATTTCGTTTGTAAATAAATTAGTTCTGAAATAAAGCCACTCCATGTCGCTCGACCCGATGACAATTTCAAAAAATCTTTGACTTATATATGAAACTACACTAGCAAAAGGTTCAAGTGTTGACATTTTTAGAAGATATTTTTTTTAATAAAAATAGTAATTTTACTTGTTTCAATATATTTTTATAAGTTTCATCCTTTTGTTTTGATTATATTAAAATTAAGAATGAATTAATGTGTTTTTAATTAATAAAGTTTCACTTAGAATTGTCATGCTATGTAACAATAAAAACTTGTTAATATAAATCCTGCCCATTTCAAATTTAAATTTTATGCTTTTGTTTACTGATTGAATGCCTTTTAAATGTGTTAATTATTTATTTAACCGGCAGGCGCCCTGGAGAAACACGACGTCTTTAATGACTTTGCACATTTTTTTTTTTTCATTTTTATAAATATAGGATATGAACTATTTTTGTATCTAAATTGCGTATCTTTTACGTATTTCAAATTATTATATTTTAGGTATTAAGTATATTGTATTTAGTAGCAGTAGAGTTCCGTGTGAAAGAGTGCCGCAGGAAAGTACTGCCACTGCCTATTTATGTAATGACCACACTAATATCACCATAAGGAAGGAAGGGTAAGAGCACTGGTGAAATTACAGGCAGATGTTAAAGTCAACAACCAGTTATGTTTAACATTAATGCAAACCACCCTATATTTCACTATTGTTATAAAGGTTATTAATTATATGCCTTATTTTTAAATGTTTTCCAAAGAACATTCCAGTTAAGTAGCTGAATTTTCGGCACACTGATTACATAATCAATACATATATAACAATAGGGGTTAAGGCGAGAGTGTATAGGCAATTGATGAATATACATGTTCAATTTTCAACTACATTGTCTTTTCAACTACAAATGCTTAACTAATTATAAAATTTTATGTTTCTTGAAAAACGTTTGAACTTGTACTTCAAAAATTCAGGAAACCAAATTAACATTGGTTATCTGAAGTTTTGAAGGACAAGCTCAAAAACCTTGGTATGCAACCCACTTGCAGAATGCCCGCTTGCTTGTTGAAGCGTGCTAATAGCACCTTTTTAACGACTTGACAAGAAGTAGGAGGTAATTCGACTGTATGTTTTTGTTTTGTATGTATGTTACGCGATAACTCCGACATTTGGAAACTGATTTTGATGATTCTTTGTTTGTTGGAAAGTGGGTACTTCAGAAGTGGTGGCAAACTAGGGCATGAACGACTTTTGAGGTCGGTGTTTTAATACTTTGTACTAATCATATTATAACGTATCGATATCGTTTTATTCATGATATCAAGTGAAGGGACAAACAAGTCACGGACATAAAATAGCGACACGCTTATCCATAGCAGCTGCAGCGCCTCTCAAAGTTTTAATCGCAAAGATATAAGGGGCACTGCCATGCTACTGCGATTGTTACCTTATAATACAAAATTCTCAAAGTGTGTGCTAGTGCTATTGCTCACATTACTGCATAGTGGTAAAAATTGGTATGGTAATAGCCGGGACAAATTCTTTCAGAAGGTGCTCTACTGCTACTAAAACCTAGTTAATCTACATAAAACTAACTTTTGTTACACCATTGTTAATTGTTTATTCGTTACATAAATAACAGGGACATCTATTACAGTGTACATCAGTATCAACAACTTCCGCTTGAATCTTGAAATGAAGACTTATTAGAGACCCCCCACACTAGCGTCTTTCGAGCGTCACCGTCTTGCTAACGCACGCGCAGTGTCAACACGACGCGACTGCGCCCGTCAGATGAGAGACATAAGTTGACAAATCCCATGTGCCTGTAATTTCACCAGCACCAAACCGGAACGCAATAATGCTCACAGTACTGCTTGACGGCAGAAATGCTTAAGGTACTTCCCTGGACGAACCCTTTCATAGGGACATGGAAAAAAAACGATACTCTTTGATATCGAGTACTTTTCCTTCCGATACTTTTCAAGTATTAGTACTTTTTCACAAGTATCGTAACGTTTCGAATAATTCCTACTTAAGACACCGTATCATATCGTAACGCAAGTCACCTTGCGGTTTTTTTTTAAATGGCAACTTTCATCACAAATGACTTGGCTGTATAGTGTATGCCACCATTTGCCTCTATGTAAGAATGAGAATTGTTCCTTCTTCAGAATGTTCTGGAAATACAATGTCAAAAACGAGAAACAGACTGTTACCAAATAGATTTTTGTTTTTAAGTGATTATACAGAGGAGGAATGGGAAATTTAAGAAACATAAATTATGTGAAAAGACGATTGATTGAATTAATCAATTTAATCAAATTCTTTTATTATTTGTTTCAATCAAAAATCCTAAATCAAATAAAAAAACTGTAGAGGAGGGAGATTCTCTATACCGTGAGACGAGGTTACACAAGGAAGATTTATTTTTACCTTGTATGACGCTAATACAATTTCACCCTATATGAGGAAGGTCTGGGCAGTTGTTCCCAAGGAGGGAGTCGACTCCTGGAAACCAGTCTGCGAGATGACGACTTTCACCCTATATGATGGGCAATAAAATTTCTCCCTATATGAGCGTACGTCAATTATCAGAAGGTCTGGGTAACAGCTCCCAAGAAGGAACTCAAGCCCTAGTTAGCCTAGCTGAGACTTTCGGTATGGTATTCTCCGATTTCTGTACCTATAAACAAAATTGAGTCACAGTAGTCACCAGCTGAGAGAAAATCTTAACACCGCGATTCAGATATAACGCCAATTGGGTCAATGCCATCTAGCGGATTCTGAATGAACTAAAACATCCTGGCTCAAGGCCGACTAATACATAAACCAGATCTGTTACAACACTTATTCTGTCTTTAAGTAGGGAAAATTTTCAGGACAAAAGTATCGTTATGAGTACGATACTTTTTATGAGTACAGTATCGATAATTTTGATTCGATACTGTGTCCCTACTCTTTCATAAGGAGCTTTTCTGCTACAAAAACGATATACATACGATGTACACAATTTGTAGTATTTTGTAACTTCCATGTTATAAAAGCACTTGTGACGTATCATCAGATGTGGCTAAAGCCAGTACGTACCCTTGGTATAATAAGTTATACTATCAGAATAATTCACCCAAGTTCTGTGCCAATGCGGATTTTGCGATATGCTGAATAATGCATAGATTTCAATATTTGTTCATTTTCAAATTCAAGTGGCTGTTGACTATGTAAATTATGACCTTATTATTGGGACTAGTGCCAAATTATATAGTTGTTTTGATCAGTAATACTATTTACTGTTTCTCTGAGCGTTGTAGAAAGCAGGTAGTTTAATAACTGTAGAGCTCCTTGTGAAAAAAGACCTTCCAGAGAAGTACTGCCACCTTACCTATTTCTGCCGCCAAGCAGTAATGTAAACATTACTGCGCTTCGGATTTGAAAAGGTTGCTGGTGAAATTCCAGGCACTGGGACTTGTAAACTTGTCTCAGGGTGATGGGCGCAGTGGCCGTGCCCCTCAGATCTTTGTGATTTAAAACTGTAAGCGGCACTGCAACGGCTACAGACAGGCGTTTCCCTCATCACAGTCATTTGGTATCATAAAAAAAAGCAGCGCCACTCATCTATTTAATTATAAAAAAGTTTTCGACTAACTTCGTTCGTAGAATGTTTAAATCTCTCCTGGTGCCTTAGTGTAAGTTTTCAAATATGTAAACTTAATTATCGCATTTGCGTTAAGATTTTAATTTAAACCTTATAGACATATAATTAAGATCTAAATAAAAATCTAAACACGAACGCGGTAGTTCAATTTGAATGATCACATATTTACACTCAGGCCGCTGAAAAGTTGCCATTTTCCATACGTGACCTTATTGTGCGCGCTTTATTACACACAGGTTCACATCCGACAGTGAACAAAGTCAGGCTGTGGAATTATTTGTAATATTTAGGGCAAATATTTTATATTTAAGCATCACAAACAACGGCTAAAGAAGCAAACAACCGCTCGCAATAAACAAGGAATTCCTCATCACAATCAAATAGATGACGCGATTAGCGCATCAACACGACCGACATTAGCGTAAGGCGTGATGATTCGTTATAAAACCTTTTTTTTAATGCAAGTGGACAGTGGTATTAAGGACACGGAAAAGTATCGATACTTTTTGGTATCGAGTACTTTCTCTTTCGATACCGATAGTTTTGTACTCGACACGTTTTTGGTATTAGTACACTTAAGATAAATCCAACTCTATGCCGGTTACGATAACAACGGTCCAAAGTACAAAGTGTCAAGCATGATATGCTCTTCACTGTACCTTTTGACAAGTATCGTATCGTTTTGAATAATTCCTACCTAGGACCTCTCATATCATAGCGCAAGCCAACTAGAGATTTTTTTCAAATAGCAACCTTTGCCACTTTATAAGAACGAGAGTGCAGAAAAATAATTAGAATCATTTGAATTGACATGCATACCTTACAAACAATATAGTATCTAGTGACTAAAATTATTGTTTTTAAGTGATTAAACAAAGGAAGAGTGGAAAATTTAAGTAATGCATGTTTTGTGAAATCCAGCCACAAATAATATAACATTACAATTTTTGTTTTTTAATTGAAACAAATTTGAAGTATATAGATACTTTTGTTTCGATATTATTAAGAGTAGGTATGATACTTTTTATCAGATACTACTCATGAGTACAGTATCGATACTTTTGATTCTTACCTATGTCCCTAACTGGTATTAAACAACCTATGGACCGATTTCAATTGCCGAAATAAAATAGTAATTTTTCTACTAAAAAAGTAGTACTTTAATCTGTCAATAAAAATTTCATAAATCATATCACAGAGGCGCTCTTTTTAGTTCTGAACTAAAATTCTATTGTCTATGGTACTCGTTAATGAACTGAAATTTTTTTTAAAAAGAATATATTTTTGCTAATTAAAAGAGTCCCCTTATATAAAATTACGTAACGTTTTAACGTATTAAAATTATTTTATTAAATAATACCTCAAAATGTTACATAACATGTTAGGAAGGCGTAAACCATCTGGCAAAAAAGAATTATTTAAAAACAACCGTCACGGGCTGACTGAAACCGTG